CTTTGTGATGCCGACACAGTTCAGAATCAATGCTTAAGCTATAGTGGAGGGTGAACAATTTATGAACACAACTGATCATTATGGTCCTTGTGATGCTGCTATGGTGGCTTGTTTACAATCAATTAGTTGTCAACTTTCAATTATTCGATTTTATTTGTTTTTTTTTTCGATTTTTATTCGATTTTAATAAAAGTTGGCAAAAATTTTTTAATCGATTAGTTGTCAACTAAATCAACTAATCGATTTTAATCGATTTTTCGATTTTCGATTTGTATCACTACCTAGAATACTGTTACTAAAATCAGTAGAATCAAAACTGTTTAGCAGTCTTATAGTAAAAACAAAGATCTCATTATCATTTTTTAATCAAATTGATTCTGATATTGCCATTGATCGAGAGGGTGCCCCAATTTCTCCCCCACGCAAATTTCGAAAGTAGTGATTTAAGCCGGCTGTGGCAGTCGCGGCTAAGCCAGCCAATATAATGTGATCGGCTGGCTTAGCCAGCCGCTTAAATCACTAAACTTTGGCCTAACTAACTGTTAAAATTGTCTTTCATTAAAAATGAAGTTCTAGACTAGTTTCATATTAAAAAATTGGACATTTTCGCTCGTAGGGTTTATATGATTTCTCCGACATCTTTGATATCTTTGCTACGTATCAACGCTAACTCTAAATTAACATTACCATAATAGGAATGTCATACAGAGAGAGTCAATACGTAAAACATTGGCTATTTTTTATGACTTGTTATGGATTATTTAGTTAGTAATATATCGTATATATGTAATATTGATAACTTTTTTTAATATAATAAATGTCTAGACAATTAATTCTAAGAACCTTATCGTTATTAATACAAATTATAAAAATATCTCTGCAAGTTGTCTATGAGACTACCTGCGGAGTGTTCTACATTCGACTGGTTTTATTTAAATTATAATAAGGAATATAAAATCATTTTCACTAAAGTAAATAGTACCAACACTAGAATTTTGTTATCAAATTTGAAAACTTGAAACATTTCTTAAAATACAAAAAGTCCTTCGCTATTGTGAAAACTTATTTCTAATACAGTAATAAATAATTGAAATATAGTAAATAAAAAAGAATGTAAATGCAACAATACCCACCGAAAATACGTCAAAAGTAGTAAATAATATTTAAATCTTTAAGTAGTATTAATTTCATTTTACAATCACCTCTCAAAGTTCAAATTACAATATATACTAATATAAATGACAAAAAATAAATTGAACTTTTAAAAAACAAATATGATCGTCCCCTAACATTTTTAACAATATATCTTCACTACTGAATCTGCACCACCACTTGCCATCCATGGTAAAGACTGGTGATATTCAACACATAATACACCCTCATCAGATTTTCGTCGATGCGATACAAACTCTTGAACACATTGTCTAGTTGATACAATATCCCACAAGCGAATAGAACTATCATGACCTTTATTGATTTTCGTTATTAAGATATTAGAAATCATAACAATCAAGTTTAATCACATAAAACAAAAGTTTAAAATATGTCATACCTCCTGATACCAATATCATTCCTGATGGATCAATATCAAGCGTGGTGACTGAATCCAGATGGGCAAGCATTGAAAAATTGCATTTACCTGTAAATAAATGAGGGATTAAATATATAAAAGCTTGACTTTTTTTTTTTTTTTACTGAAAAATGATTTTTAAATCTTACCGCTATTGACATCAAAGAATCTAATATATTTATCTTCATGTGCAGAAAATAATAGCGACATGGTAGGATGAACGATGATACGATTGATTTGCGTCGCTGGAGTATTATCGTACGTTTCATCACTATTAAAGGTTACAATGCTTTGTCCTGTTTCAATGTCATAAAGCTTGATTATTGAATTTTGGAATGAAACGGCAATTTTCTTCAAATCGCTATGAACAAAATCAATAGATGTAGGTATTGGCGGACGAACTAATAATATTATATATAAAGCGAAAAATAATAACATATATAAAACGAAAAATTATAAATTTTTAAAATATCATTCGTAAAAAGAAAAATCAATTTCAAAAATTAATAAAAAATCAACATACCTCCGTTAACTGGTAGTTCACTGTCATTACCATAATATCCCCATGAACTTTTCAATGGCGATCCTTCCGTTTCCGTATTCCAAATTTTAACTGTTCCATCAGCAGATGCGGATGCTAAAAACTGGGTATTTAAGTTACGAATAGGGAATAATCTTAAGTCCCATATAGCATCCGTATGACCAATGTAGGTAGTCAAGTTTAACGGTGAATCTATAAAATAGGAATTAAATTCGGATAAGAAATATTTTTCTACAGAAATACAATACTAATAATGTGTACATATATTTATATATAATTATAATTACCGACGGGTCCGTAAGTGTCTCGTTTTGGTGGTGGCAGATCCCATACGCGAATTGTAGAGTCCATACTAGCCGAATAACATTTGTACTGTTCTGAAGCAATGACAACTGAATTTACGGCCGCTGTGTGACCTCTATAAGTAATTGTCGGTTCAATATCAGGAACATCTGTAGGTCTGATTATTATTAATCATAAAGTGTGTTATGAATATGACGTTTATGTTGATTTTTTTTAACAATTATTATTTTCTTCATACTTGAGAGAAATCGGGCCCTTTAAATTCCATAACTTCACTGTGCCATCTTCCGATCCAGATGCAAACATGAGTTCTGATTTATGCCATGAAATAGAACGAACAGTATCAAGATGGCTAAAAATAAATAAATAAATAAATTATTAAATATTCGTATTAATTATAGAATTATTAGATAACTAATTACCTCCTTAATGTGAATCGTTGCCTCCACATTTTTCTATCTGAATTATTTTCTTGTAATTTATCAACCTGTAGCGAAATCCGGGCGAATAACATGTAAATTAAATTATGGAATTCACTATTTTTGATGTAATATTTAATCTTTACCTCTGATTTTTCTGCGTTGTCTACTTCATCAACTGATAAACTGAGTTCGTCTAATTGAGGATCTGATGTATTAATTGCTATAAAAAATATTTAACAGTAAATAAACAGATATGTTTAAATTGAAATATAAAAAAGAAAAAGATATACAAACGTAATATTCCTTGATTTTTTTTCGAAGAATTTTTCATCAATTTCGAAATTTTTTCATCTGACAGGTTAAATTTTTTCTGAACATCTTTTGTCTATAAAAAAAAAATTTTAACTTTAAAATTTAAAAACGTCTTCTTTTTAGTGGTGAAATCCTCACATTTATTTATAACAACATACCAATTGATATTCTTCTTCTCTGAGTTCATCTGCACTTTTTTGAAATGCAGTCATATTTTTAGCTGTAATTTGACTCTGCATTTTCCAAGATCCGGATTTGTTAAAGGCGGGAGTACTAACATCTTTTTCAAAGTAGTTTTCATCGGCTTTATTTGTCTCTAACCCACCAATTCCATTACCAATTGGTGTCGTTTCACCCGAAGCTATTATATCGTTTCCTTGATAATCAAATGATGGTTGTTCATCATCAGAAAATCTTTCATCATTCTTGTACAATTTACCAGATGATTTTGGAAAGAATGAACCGTCTTCGTTTTCGGGAGAAACAATCTCTAAACCTTCACGCGGAGGAAAAGGAATATCTAATGGTGGGCTAGATGAATTTGTTGGCAATATGGGTAAAATTGACGGTGGTGTTGTTGGAGCAGGCCTAGAAGGTCTTATTGCAACGTTGCCTAATCTTTTCGGTGGCACTCCGTTATGTGTATTAGAATTTCCCCCAACCCATATTGCACTGTCTCTATGATTTGGCATTTGATTGGTTGCATTATTTCCATTCAAACCAGTTGGATGGCTTAAAAGTCGATTGCTAATAGAAGGGTTACTAGTCGCAGCATTTGTAAGGTAGTCAATTTCTTGCAAGCATCTATAAAAATTTGGTTATTTTAATAATTTTTTTTTTTTTTAAAAAAAAAATTACTAATGTGAAGAATAAAAGGCACGCATGCTTATCATACGCTTTAAGAATCTCTCGACTTTTGATGCGATAATTAGGATCCCGACTTGATAAAAGACTCTTTTGTTGTGAAGATTGTTCGGAAGTCAGAGAGAACTCTGTAGTTGATTGAGAATTATTTTGTACTATTGGAGATTTGTATTGTGGTGAGAAATAAGGGGGGGATAAAATAATTTTAATTTGTGAATGAAAAAAAGTAATGTTTCATAATAGCCAAATAAGAAAACTTACGAAAATTTGCAAATTCGCAACTTACGTCCTTCTTCGTTTGCAGTAGTTGATACAGTGGATGATTCCCTTGTTAAAGGTTGTGTGGAGGATATGCCGGCCAAATATTTACTTCTATAACATGGGAAGTTCTTTAATTAAGCGGCGGCATTTCTTTGATCTATTAATGTTATATCTTCGTACCTCTCCTGCCTTAGAGCAAACTCTAACATTTTTACACGCCTCATAAGATTTATTTTCATGGTTTCAATTCCACGACGTTCACCTTCTAATAGTGCGATGCGGGCCTTTTTATTCATAAATTTTTATAATAATCAACAAACGATAAATTAAATTTAAATTAATTCAAATTATTTTATTAATATCTGACGAACTATTTTAGTTCACCGAATAAAGAATTTTATAACTCAATAAACAATTATAATAAATATAAATATTTTTGTAATTACCTTCATTTCGGCACGCTCAATCTCCCATTCATTTCTGTCCCGCTCATAGCGCCTCCATTCTGATTGGAGAAAATGAAGTACGCCTGGTAAAGTGTATTCTGGTATTTGAGACTGTTGCATTGGCTGCTGCTGCTGGCCATAAGTTTGTGCCATCGTATTCAACAATTAAATTATACAGATAAATTGATAGTAGTAGTAAAATTTAAGTAGCAAACTCAAAAAGTCAGAGATGTTTAAAAGATAGGTTTTGGGATTGGAGCTTCAAGAAAGTGGTTCGACCGTTAAAGAGCAAAAGCATCACTTCCACAAGAATAGTCAGGTGCCAAAGCATCAAATGAAGAAAAGAAGGCCTTTAGATCTCCAACAAGCGCAGGCGACGATTGAATTTTGAATCGAAGGAAACTAATCGCACCTTTTGATTAAGTTGAATCTGTGCGATGTTTGTTCACAGGAGTAGCAAAAAGCATCGTTTCTGAGAATACCCGCTTCTTTCCTGAGAATTTACTCGTGTGTAACCCACGATCTACCCTGTCATAACTTTTACAAAATATAAATTACCCTTGTAAATGTATCTTAGCACCCCTTTTTCGAAACCCCGTGATTGGATTCGACTCGAATAGACTTACTGGATATGTATATTAATATACTATTAAGTAAACGATCTGATTTCTTGTAATAATATATATAATTTAAAAAGAAACTTTTTTTATTTTACTATTATGGAGTGAGCCGTCTCAGACATAAAATTTTTTAACGCTAAAATGTTAAACTATTCAATTCAATATGTCGGACTTTTTTTAAAAAAAGATAAATACGTAGAAAAATTATTACAGTTCCATTGTTACAACTAATTTTTTCGTCCAACTACTACGTAGTACGTAGAATAGAATAGATAATAAATAAATAGTATAAAGTGGCACTGCATTTGATACTACTGTACTACGTATATTACATTTATCTTGCATTATTTATATTTGTAATACAATTCAATTCTGCGATTGAAAATTTTTTTATAGTACACGGGAGAAAAGTTAACGCTTTGTCTAGTTGTTACCAAATGAAAACGTAACATTTTCTAAAAAAGATGTAATAACTACATACTTACCGGCAATTCGTGAGTCGGTCTTGGCCGGGTTCGAGCTTCACAAAGTCCAATAATAACTTGTACGTATACAGTATTGTATATGGGGCCCCACAGCAAAAAGATGCATTGGGGACAAAAAATTTTAATGTAATTTTATAAAAATTATATTTCTATTGGCCTAATGCCTCCTTTTGTTGTGGGGGGTTCTATCAGAATAGATTAGTGGCGCAACCAAAATTCAGCAGATCGGCCCGAATTTGGGGTCGGAATAGCCGGAGTTGATCGATTTTTTCGAACACCCAAATTTTTTTTACTAATAAACTGGCAGCCTATATCAGTTGATCGATATGTCACATCTGATTTTTATCATATGATTTTCATAAATTACGCAAATCGACGAAATCATGATTTTCAAATTTTCTTCCAAAGTCTTAGTTATAACATACAATATTTTATAACAAATAAGTTGCCAGGTTTTTAAAGACTTAAACATATAAAGAATATGGAAATCTAATATCACCTAGCGATGTAAGACCCCTTCAAAGATAGACAATTATTTTGCCTTCTTTTGTAAAATTCTTTTGAAGTTTTTGAGATCTTAGTATAAAAAATAGCTTGTTAGATGCAAGCAAGCAAAAATTTTTTGTAAAATACATTTTTGATCTTATAAAAATGTAGAGATATTTAAGAAAAACCATTTTTATACTATATATTATAGTTTTTTTTTTTTTTTTTTTTTTATTCTTTAGACAGTCTTGTCGGAGCTCAAATACAAAATTATCTTATTACAGTAAGTGAAAAACTACTCTAA